CTTAGTACCAGCATCCAGAGCAGCTCTAGTGGTGTTCACCGTTCCCTTCTTCGTAACTCTACCATGAGCCACAGTAGCCGAGAGCAGCTCATTAGGAGTACCACTCATCACCGCTGTATTAAATACGAAGTCGATGAGGCCACCCCAGACAGGATGGGACCTCAAGAGCAACACCTACGTCATAGTGAAAATGCATTCACATGCCGTAGAGGAACCACTACCCTCTTAGGGCCGTCCATTTCCTTCCTTAAGCCTTGCAATAAATCCACCAGTACCGGGAATAACACGCTAGCCCACTGAGGCTTCACCGTAGCATTATTCAACGACTCCATCCTGGCAGCGACATCACACTACTACGCATGCCTTCTTCCTACAGAGCCATCGCTTGGTCGGCTGATGATGTCGGGTCTTCGCCCTTGATCGAGGCTGTCGCCGATTCCGCTAACGCCCCCAGAAAGCTGTGGATAACTACAGCACAGTATGAGGCAGGACCGCATGAGCCTGTTAGTATTACCATTAGTTTGATTTTCAGCTCCCACCGACGTGGACATCACTACCAGCACAGTAGCGTGGTGATAACAACTACTATGAAACTTCCAAAAAAATACCCCCCAGGTCCCCACAACTACCTACATCACTGATCGCCGTGAAACAGACTCGCGAGAATCGGTCAAAAAACTAACATAAGAATGAACGCTCTTCAGATGTTGACAGGCTCAAGTAGAACTCCATATATAGGACGAAATAAAACATATAATGATAGCCGTAAGCTGCAGGGACGAGCCTGTTACCGAGCCTCCTGTTGGAGTAGTAGAAGGAGTAGTGGGGGAAGGGGTAGAAGTCGACTGCGATCGTACTTGACATTGTAGTATTCTCACGGAGTCGTTACGGCTCTGAGGCTCCACATGGAACTCCGTGACAACACCATTGACCATCTTAGCCTGTACAAGAGTCTGTCTTGGTCCCCATAGCTTCAAGTCCACATCCCACTCACAGGGCCACGCTGGGAAGAGCAGCATTCCATCATCCGCATCGTCCAGCGGCTGCAATAAGGCGTAGATCAGGCCGTTCCTCATGACCGAGTAATGGTCCAAAGAGGGATGCCAATCTTGCATTTGTCGTCCAAACGCTGTGAAGCGATAACCCTCTGGTGCGGGCTTAGCAGCCCTTTCGATCAGCAACTCCTGAGCGTCTATTGCCAGTCCAAGCAAGGCCGCATCCATCACATTCTGATTCCATCCATCATCAGTGGTGAATCTTTTCTCTCTATAAGCAGCACGGGCAACCTCAAGATTCTCCCCAACATCCTTCGCCGTGACCAGCCTATATGGATGGACCGCATATAGCTCAGCATTTTCGAAGTTTTCTGGTCCCAAGCCACACGCCTCACATGGGGCCAACTTCTTGCCTCCTCCTACTTCAGCATCAGTCAATGGTAGTGGTGGCACCACTGCCTTCAGCGCCGCCCACCTTTGTCGTTGCTCAGCAGTAGTGAGCTCGGTCGGCAAGGCTTCCAGTCGAGCCAGTACAGCGTGTAAGCCAGCCACAGTGGGCATATCGTTGAGTGTACAGTTGAGTCCAGGTTGCATGTATTGGTACCCCAGACACACCCACGTCTCGAGAGCTTGCCCAGGGAAGATCATCATCTTACCGTTGTCATTACGTCCAGTTCTCCACTGAGCGAAGAAGTTCACCACCGCGTCGACCATAGGGAGATTTCTCGTCAATACAGTGGCATCTCGTGTCCACGAATAATGGTCTAAAGCCAGCAAGCTGAGGTCAAGACCTCCCTGAAGATTATAGTGATTGGGCGGATCCACCGAGTACCAAACTGGCATGCCCCATGCCCTGCCCTCGCGACCACAACCATAGCTCATTGGATGCGTACTGCCGATCAAAGGGTGATTGTACTCGTCCCAGTATGCAGCGTCACCGCTCATGTTCGGGTAGTATACTTTGGTCTTCATCTCGGCGTATTTCAGCGTACTGAGAAAGGCCTGCAAGAAGGTCGCATCGACCATGTCAGCATCCCCACTGGCGAACATGTTGTAATAGGGCATTCGAGCATTTTGCCACCAGTTGAGTCCTCCCCACTTGTTGTAGTCCACTTCCTCTCTCTGAGCCGTGAAGAGCATTCCATTGAATTTGATAGGGATGGGCTCTCGTGATTGAATACCCTGTAGGTAGCGATGGAGGGCACTTTTACTGTTGACCTCGCCAGCCCTAGGGCCGGTGATTTCGATCCAGCTACGGTTCCAGAACTGTGCCCACCACTGCATGTGCTTCTCGAGAGCAGTCATGCTGTTGTATTCCGCGATGAGCCTCTTCGACTCAGCAACGGCAGGGTCCAAACCTTGCTCGGAGGTGGCAACACCGATGACCATGGAGAAGTCCCGGCTTGGCTCTGAGGTCTTCAGCTTTCCCACAGACAGGGTCGCGATCATAGGCGTTCCAAAGCGCCATGTAGCCGCAGTAGATCTGTTGGCGATACGATCGGTAATAGACCCTTTGAGGGACTCGAGGTTGAGAGCTTCCAGAATGCTAGTGGTGTAATCGCTGCGAACGTTGGCGTGGGCCCAGCCGATGACTCCTCCAGAGTCGTTGAGATAGAAGTCGGCACTGACGTTGTAGGGTCGGCAGTGATACAAGGGTTGCCTAGAGAAGGGCTTAGGGCGTAGCAGCTCGGCGACAACCGAGACATCAATCGGTGTTGGGGAGGAGATGTTCACCACTAAGACATCCTTGAGGGCATCAACATAGGCTTCGACCCTCGTCGGTGGGGAAGGGCCGACTTCAAGAATAACACTTCCTGTAGAGGTATTGAGAACCTGCGGAACAAGTGACGATGCTGAAGGAATTAGTCAAGTCTGACCCCACCTGCTTAATCGAGGTAGTGTCGGCCGTCCCCCACGGGTTGGGGGTGAGCTCTAGAGTGACCTTTCCAACTTTGATGAACTCCCCCGCCTCATTCCAGGATCTCTGATCCGATATCAGCAGCGCTATGATAGGGTTAGAAGCATTCTTATTGTCAACGATTACATTAGCAGCTAAAGCACCGTTACCGATAGGCATGGCATTGACATAAGTGGTAGCGTTCTCTTCAGGGAGGAGGCCTATCCAGGTCACCGTGGGAGGGGTGACACTGAGGACAGGATAGAGGAGGACGGCCACAATGAAAGCGATCATTGGAAGCATCAAGAAGATGTTGCAGATTGAAGTTTCGTGGCGCGTGACGGGATCGGAGGTCGGGGGTTCGAATCCCACACTAGTCATTTTTCCTTTTGCAGCACACTAACAAGTTGATTTGCTCATCTAAGATGAGCAAATCAACTTGCTAGTGTCATGAAGATGAGTCATCTTCACATTGTGGTGATCTAATCTTGTTGAATTTCTCAGTTTTTTTTTCTATCGTCTTCGACACCACAGCCGTCGGCTATGGCTCCTCAACACTATGAGACTCAGTCAGGCAACAAGGCCTTCGCCAGAGTGACCGGGGCCGGCGTGGCTGGGATGTGGGTTCTCAACTTGCGTATCCTCGTGCTGTACAAGACCCTTCAGGGCCGAGCTTTGCATCTTTTATCCGGTGGACACTCTGGCTAAGCGGCTGATGAATTCGAGTGTGGCTCTGAACATGACCAACTGGCAAACGGTGAGATCTCGAGCGTCTCAGGATTGACCTTGATGAAACGCAAAGATTCCCTCGAAGATACCAAATATGTCCGGTCAATGCTTGTCTTCCACCTTTCATCGTTATCATCTCGATTGCTTCTTGATTAGTTTTTCTGCTCAGGTTGTTTTCCAACAAGAATCCGGCACGGCTGCGATCGGCGGCGTTCGAGGCTTCGTCGGCAAATGGGCTGCACTGTTCCCCGGTTTCGGTTACGGCGCCCTGTACAAGATCTCTCAACGAGTTTACAAGTTTGGTGGCCAACCTGTGGTGAAAGAAGGCCTGGACAAGTACGTTTTCCCATCCGACAGGAGCCCAACTCAGCAGTTTTGGTGTAAGGGCAAATCTCCTGGCATTGGTGTTAGTTTCACTTATCTTAGGCAACGGCCTCAGTGGGTCTCTGATAGGAGCTGGCGAAGTTGTCCTTCTCCCTCTAGACGTGAACACCTTCTCCGTATCGTCCTCATACGTCCCTTCGTCAGGTATTGAAGATCAAGTACCAGACTAACCCTGAGTATCGCAAGCTCAACTTCGCCCAAGTTTGCCAACGTGAAGGTCTCTCGTCGCTTTATGCCGGCGCAGGGGTGACCGCAGCAAGTGGGTTCCTGAGCAAGTCTGTCAATGTCATCGGTCATCTCTAGGGAATATAGCTGGCTCGTTCATGCTTTTCGGTGTCAATTACGCGGTTAAGCACAGCCTTACTGATGCTCGTAGTGGCAAACCTGGCTTCGTTCACTTTGCGTTATCGAGTAAGATCCGTGACATCGGAGGTGACATGTCCAAGGCTCACGTTCTCCCAGGTACTGCTGGCTCTGTAGCCAGCATCCTAGTCGCCTGCCCTCTGGACGTGGTCAAAACCAGACTTCAGTCAGGCAACTATGCGGGTTGCTCAGCATTCCGCATCATCGCTGATATTACCGCCAAGGAAGGCCTTGGCGCTTTCTTCAAAGGAAGCGTAACGTTCGAGCTTGTCTTGTCTCCTCGTATGAGATTTGATTCAGATTCCGAAGGTGCTGTCAGTTGGTCCAAAGCTCACGTTCTCATTTACTTTGGCCCAGTATTTGATTGACTATATCCAGAGACTAGCTTAGTCTTTTTCTAGCTGAGATTTAGGTTTAATTCACCGTAGACGTTTCAGATGATCCACGTTTCTGCTCACCCATTGTTCGGTTCATGTGTAAATTGATAGATAAGACATGTGATGACTAATACGGTGAACTTATGTATTGAAGAGTAGATCAGGTCAGGTCGATATTGGTGGTTTTGCAACATTGTGAGGCGTCGAACGAATATGTCTCTATCGTATGTGATACCGATTCTGTCTCGTCTCTCGTCCACAAATCGGAATATGCCTCAAGTGTGCATCCTCCTTTGTTGGTCTATTACGGAGTATATGTCCTGTTAAAGATCTTGTGTACTCTTAGTAGGATTGTGCTATTGCCGTTGAAGCACGTAGCAGTGCTTCATATCCTGTGCTGGGAAGTGTCGAACATGACGCCGGTATTGTGTCTTGTTCTTACCCTTGCTTTTTGGAAATCAGAGCGTTTATCAATTAGTAGTCGTGAGTCTAGTGACCGGTTAGGAGTCTTCTCACTGGTTTAACTGCAGCTTTCTATCTCGTAGTAGGTGTCTCAATCGAAATTGTGATAGAAATTCACAACTTGATCGATGCAAGTTTTTGAAGCACTCGCTGTGTTTAAAGAGTTATATCTAAAGTGTCTCGTTTCAAGAGACAAGTAGTGTTGAAAGTTTTCTTTTTGACTCTTGAGGTTTTATTAAAGTTCAGTTTATTGTGTCTTATCAGGTTGTTGTACTTTGTGAGACTACATATAATGGGCTTTTGTACCGGAGTGTCGAAGTTCGTTCACTACCTTTTCGACCTCACAATCTTCGTTGTTGGTGCTCTCGTCCTCGCCTTCAGCATCTATCTACTAGCCTCTAACTATGAGGGTTTCGTCGAGAAGTGGTGGATATGGATTGCTGTCTTTGCTGGGGCTCTTCTTATGATTGCTGCCGTCATCGGTTGCATCGGTGCTAGTCTGAAGACGAAATGGGTTTTGTGGGTCTACGGTATCATTCCTGCTCTTGTGCTCATCTTATTTATCATTGCTGCGATTGGTTCCTCGGTCAACTACTCGTACACTGATCGCCTTGCTGATAAAAGTGCTAGTGAGCTCAACTCACTCGATACCGACTCGCACACCTACGAGGTATATGACGGAATTCGGGAAGTTTATGGTACGCTATGGAATGACCAGAACTGTGATGTGTCGTGCACTGTCAACAGTCTTGCCTTTGTCGAGTGCGGTGAAGTTACCTGTGATGACGGCACTGTCGAGGGCTGGATGGAGGACTGGATTGAGGAAGCCTCGTCTGGTATTTCGGGCGCGTCGTTTGGACGCTGTCTCGTGCTGTCCATCGACGCTGATGGTATTGAAGGTAGCGAGTCGGCGGCAACTGGTTGGTGTGCCAGCAATACAGCAGTCATCAGTGATGCCAACGATTGGACCCTGGGGTTCATGATAGCTTTCTGGGTCATCTCGGTTTTTCTTGTCATTGTTTTAATAGCCAACTGTATTCTTATCAGTAGTAGGAGGAAACGATGATCTCAATCTCAATTACTATAGTTTCTTTCGCGGCTTTGCCATTCAGAGCCGCACGACTCGTCCTCTGAATTCTCCTCTTGAGTTGACTCGGTTTTGCTACTTCTCATCAGCTGTGCTGTATAGGCGAGCATACGTCTCTATCAAATAGTCTAGACTAGACTTGCTAGTTTCATAGCTGCATTTGTTCGTGTTGACGAATAATTACGATTGGTCGTCATGCATTAGTTTACTCAAAGCTCCTAATGGGTTGCTGTACCGTCTTTTCGAAGCTCGTCCACTA